GGCCTGCAATACGTGTGGCGGTGTTCCAACAACTGACGAAGGGTGAACACATGATCAATGCATCCACGACCTGAACGAAACCCAGTCTGCTCTTCGCGAATCAATCCTTCACGTATTTTGCACAGCCTGCGAAGCGAGACAGCAGCCAATAATTTAGACGCGACTGGTAGCAGATTGATACCCCTATGATTGTCACACGAATTACGTCGACCCTTTTTAAAGATGGGGACGATAATGGCTTCGTTCCACATTGATGGTACACTCAGTTTCCCATACCTTCCTGAACAACCCAGTTAGAGCCATTGTGAGAGTCTCGCCACCATCTTTAAAAAGAGCCGGGGGTAAATTGTCCGGGCCGGGCGCCTTATGGCGTTTTAACACTTGGAGTTCCTTACGGACCTCTGCTTCGGTGGGTGGGTTGGTATTAACCGACCAAGGAGCACTGGGGCTAATGACAACAGGCATTGAAGCTGGTGGCCAGCTAAACTGTTTCCCGAAGTGCTCTGCCCAGCGTTCCAGGCGTCTTTTCAAGCTGGTAATTGGCGTGCCATCTGCCTCACAGACCGTCTCGCTGACACCTTGTTTCTTGCTGCCGGTGGCTTGGATGAGTTGGAACAGCTTCCGACTGTTGCCAGATGCAGCAGCTGACTCCATCTCACCCGCACGTTCTGACCACCAGGCTTCGTGGTCCTTACGTAAACACTGTCTTATCTTGCGCGTCAGCGCCTTTCTCTTATTGCTGTATTCGCTGTCAGCCGGAATGGACCGGCGTTCATCCAGGAGTTGCAAGGAACTCGCAGAAACCCAATGGTTTTTGGCGGAGCATTCTTTCAAGCCGCAAGCGGCTATACTCGCTCTTTGCATGGCACCTTGCAGATGAAGCCAATGTTCATCTATACTACTTGGGGGGTTGCTGGCAAGCATTGACTGTAACTCATTCTGATATTTCAAAGAAGTAGCAGGTGCTACTAGTTTGCCCACATCAACGTTTAGACGACGCCTTTTATGAACCCCACCAAATCGCAAGACGAACTTGGCACACACTAACGCATGATCGGAGTCCAGGCATGTGCTCCAGAAGGAGGGACAGTCTTATATGCATCCTCGCCACCGGAAACTGACAGCAATATGATCGACCTGAGTCCAAGCCTGGTTCGCAGAGGGAGGACGCCAGGTAGCGCTACGGCGATGGTTGTGCCGGAAGTTGGTGCTGGCTAGAAATAGGTTGTGATCCGCGCAAAGCTGCAGAAGACGGTCCCCATTATCTGACCTGCGACCATGTAGTCCCCATTGACCACCTAGACGATTCTCCTCTGAGCTCAGACGCCCGACCTGTGCATTCAAGTCCCCAGCCAGGACTATGATATCCCTCCGACCCGCCTGTCTCAAGAGATCGCTAAGTTGGTAGTAGAACTCATCCTTCATTGCATCCGGGCTACAATCCGTTGGTGCATAGGCAGAGACAACAAATAGACACCGCCTATCTGGCCTACTACTCCTTACTTTCGTATAACCTTCCAGCCTCACAGCACATAAACGACTGTTAATGGGAATCCAGTCGAGCAATGCAGCTTCGACTCTAGCGCTCAGTGAGACGCTGACACCAGCTACGCCGGATGCCGACGCCACAGGCTCCCCGGACAAGCGCAGGTGGTACATACTACTAGAACTTCCAGATGGAGAGGATAATCGAAGCACTTCACTGGGATCTTGAATGCGAGTCTCCGAAACGCAGCAGACATCGACAGCGAGGCTTTCCAATGTTCTTACCAACCCTGCCTATTGTCCGATTTGCATCAGCGTCCGAACATTGTAGGTGGCCAGCTTGAACGCGGCGCGCGGTTTCAGGATATCTGTGTTAGATGTCACATTGGGGACAACCATTTTGAGGGTTACTCACTAACATCTCGAAACGACACAGATAGGCTAGGAATCCAGACAAAGGCGAAAGGCTGTCGAAGGTTAAGAAGTCAAGGTGAGCAAAGGTAAAATACAGGAATCTAAGTATAAAAATCAAAGTAAGGTTGGAAGGACATAAGTTGCTTGAGGTATCATTATTTCTTGAAATCATTTTTGCGAGCGCGCGGTGAGTTTCCATAACAGTTTGTTGCTTCATTTCATTTATTGTGTGAGGGCTGAGATACTGCCCGGGCGCCCAGACCGAAGCAGGTGGTTTTCCTAAGGGACCAACCCGCGAGCCTTTGACTTGGAGTCTAATCCGCAAAGCAGCGGAGCAGCGTCAGGGGCTGCATTCCCATGGTTGCCGGTGACCCATATGGGTTCATACGCCATTTGATCCGACTGAATTCTGGAGCCCATGTACCCCATGGTAACTGCTTTTAGTCTAACCGCTATCCAAACAACCTTCCTGACATGGTAGGACCTGCAGGGACATGAGTCCCAGCCAGTCTAGCTTGTTGGGTCACTGCGGCATTCAAGACCGACCAACATCGCAAGGTAGCAGTTATCGACCGCGTATAAATATTATTGGGGCGAGGCGCATGCAAATAACACTTAGCCTTCTACAAACCTTCAACTCCCACAGTCTGATGCATAATCCAGTCGTCCGCCACAATTAGGAATATCATAGATGATAGTGGATATCCTTGTCTTACATCTATCTTCAGTTCAAACGGTTCGTTGAGCTTTTAGTTGTCAATCACATTGCGTGCGTCATCGTCATACAGCTAGCTGTTGAATGAGGTTGATAAAGACTTGGGCACTGCACGCTGTAGTGTCGAAGTACTTTCCAAATTACTTCCCGGTCAACACTGTCTGGTGAAGTCTTTTGCGAAGTCGATGAAGTCGAGGTAGAGGTTTGACTGGCATTCTATGCTTTGTTCGATGGTGATGCGTAAAGTTGCAATTCGATCAGCGCATGATTTGCCTTACCTGAATCCAGCCAGGTTGTTCCAGGCTGGCGGAGTTCTGCATGCAGTGCATCTTTTATTCTCTCCAGGATGACACGACTTAGTATTTTACCTGGCGTGAACAAGAGCATGATTCCACGCCAGTTCCTGTAGAGTGAGGCGTAAGTCACCCTTCTTTGGTAGTTTCACAGTGTAGACAGCCTTTCATCCAATCGGTAGGCACCTTTCCTTCCCTCCAAACGTTTTGCAATAGTGGTGTCAGCATATGCGCTGCAGCCTCTAGGTCGATTTTCACTGCTTTGGGGTGGGGGAATTCCACCTGGTCCTGCTCACTTTCCGGACTTCAGTAGCTTACTTAATTGCATCCAAGATTTCTGCTTTTGTTGGGGGATTGGCGTCCATTGGCATGCGGTTCTCTTCGTGTTGTTCGTGGCATTTGTGGACGACTTGCAGGCGCTGGTCGATTCAAGAGTCCTCTTAAGTCGTCAGCCCATTGTCTCATTCCTCTCTCATCTTTGGTAATTGGGTTCCCTTGACCATCTTTTATAGGTTTCATCTGCATTGATATTTTCCCGGATAGAGACTTGGTTATCTGGTATAACGTTCTACAGAAGATTAGAATGTTTTATTACTAATGCAAGCTGAGCGACAAAATCTGACTTGTTTTCGTAAGATAAACTACCCATATAAGAAAAATTAAAGTAGTTTAACTTAAGTATTCCTGAGATTTCCCCATCATTGTTCTCAAGTCAACCAATAGTTATCATTGCTACGCAGTTGATAGGGTAGACTTTTGTGCTTCTAACATGACAGAAGCTAAACTAAACGACAAGATTTTCATGAAGCATTATTTTATTTAACATCCTGTTTTACCTTAATATTGTTTATTTTATTGCTTCGGTGTTAAGATAATAGAGAATTTGGAGTCATAGAATTTTACTTCAGGACACCTTCACGAACATGATAGGCTCTGTCAAAAAGGCTATCAGGTCAGCTTACTAAGAATCCATAGGACAAAGCATCTGAAATAACAAGTGATGCCGACCGACTACTGTCGCGTTTGTCGAAATTCAGGCAATATTCGTTCTCGGAAGATGCGGCTTGGGATCGAGAGTACTTTTAAGATATCGAGAGTGAGTACGCTGCATTGGACATAAAGTTGCTTCTTTTAAAACGTGAATGTTTAACGGAAGCGGAAATCGATTTGGAAACTTGTCAGAATATTCGACATGTAGTAAGGCTATACAAGAGCTGATTGGTGTCGTAAATTGCTCAAACACAAATCCTCCGGGCGATAGTCATCTTTACTCGAGAAGCCTATTAGAATCTGGTTGCTTTTTACACACAGAGGCCAGTTGCTCAACTCAAAGAGATTTCGAACCACTACCTGATCCTGGTACTCCTACAACAAATACATGTCAAAATTTCGATTTTCCTATTGCCTCTATTCCTGAAAAACCATTGATTACTAAAATCGTCTTCGGGGACAATCAGAGGAACTCATTTTTAACACGACAACATCAAGCTGTCACGAATCATGGAGTTCCTAGCTTTACACATAGTCCTCAAGCTGATATAGGTGCAGGTTGGAAAAGAGTAAGTGGTGGCCAAACAAAAACATGGCATCAATCCATGAAATCCCTGACAGTAAAACTGAGTCAGGTAGGGAGATGCAGACTTCCGGGTTGGGGCCCTCGGGACTCTAAGAATCAATGGCTGGAGACAATAGGTGACATGGCTCAAAATCGTTGTCAATGGCGCAGATGTATTCAGTCTCTTTAACCTTCATACTCCTTTCTACCATTACTCATTCTGTTTCACTCTTATACTTGTCAAAACTCTATTGATTCTCTTCACTCATTTTCTGTCTACTTTTGTGTGCTATTTGGAACGTGGCAACTCGAACTGCTGCACTTCGGTGCCAAGTTCTATGTTGAATCCAGACAGACAGACAGACAACACATAGTCCTCAAAAAATCGATAGGACGGCTCTGATTCAAAGGGTAAAATGGCCAAAACTATGCAGCCTACAGAATCTAGTTCAACGTTAAAATAAAGACTTACTTAGACATCACTATTATCAACAGAATGCGGCGAATAAGACTAATGTCCCGTTTTCTAACTGCACAGGGGTTCAGGGCTTCTAAGTCAGGTGAAACTCCCTTATCCAACTGTGTCATTGATGGCTAATATGGGTCCACTAGATGACCAAGCTGCGAAGAAACCCTGTACATCAAGTAATGGGATACTGAGAACAGGAGCCTATGCTTCAAGTCTTGATCCAAATCGTCATATGACTGAGGGAAGTTTACTAACAGGGTAATCAAGTGGTGAGCGCGATAAAAGATTATTTTATTTTATCAAACAAGTGTCAAACATTTTGCATTGCGGTAGGGTTGTCTAACACATATACAGCAGACAATCTACTTCCTACTAAAGAGGCTGAAAATTAAATTTGCGAATCCGGTTTTAAAACACCTTTAATGTGCGACAACTTGTCGATTCAACTGACTGTCTTATCAGTCACCTAGATGTTCGTGAAGGTGTCCTGAAGTAAAATTCTATGACTCCAAATTCTCTATTATCTTAACACCGAAGCAATAAAATAAACAATATTAAGGTAAAACAGGATGTTAAATAAAATAATGCTTCATGAAAATCTTGTCGTTTAGTTTAGCTTCTGTCATGTTAGAAGCACAAAAGTCTACCCTATCAACTGCGTAGCAATGATAACTATTGGTTGACTTGAGAACAATGATGGGGAAATCTCAGGAATACTTAAGTTAAACTACTTTAATTTTTCTTATATGGGTAGTTTATCTTACGAAAACAAGTCAGATTTTGTCGCTCAGCTTGCATTAGTAATAAAACATTCTAATCTTCTGTAGAACGTTATACCAGATAACCAAGTCTCTATCCGGGAAAATATCAATGCAGATGAAACCTATAAAAGATGGTCAAGGGAACCCAATTACCAAAGATGAGAGAGGAATGAGACAATGGGCTGACGACTTAAGAGGACTCTTGAATCGACCAGCGCCTGCAAGTCGTCCACAAATGCCACGAACAACACGAAGAGAACCGCATGCCAATGGACGCCAATCCTCCAACAAAAGCAGAAATCTTGGATGCAATTAAGTAAGCTACTGAAGTCCGGAAAGTGAGCAGGACCAGGTGGAATTCCCCCACCCCAAAGCAGTGAAAATCGACCTAGAGGCTGCAGCGCATATGCTGACACCACTATTGCAAAACGTTTGGAGGGAAGGAAAGGTGCCTACCGATTGGATGAAAGGCTGTCTACACTGTGAAACTACCAAAGAAGGGTGACTTACGCCTCACTCTACAGGAACTGGCGTGGAATCATGCTCTTGTTCACGCCAGGTAAAATACTAAGTCGTGTCATCCTGGAGAGAATAAAAGATGCACTGCATGCAGAACTCCGCCAGCCTGGAACAACCTGGCTGGATTCAGGTAAGGCAAATCATGCGCTGATCGAATTGCAACTTTACGCATCACCATCGAACAAAGCATAGAATGCCAGTCAAACCTCTACCTCGACTTCATCGACTTCGCAAAAGACTTCACCAGACAGTGTTGACCGGGAAGTAATTTGGAAAGTACTTCGACACTACAGCGTGCAGTGCCCAAGTCTTTATCAACCTCATTCAACAGCTAGCTGTATGACGATGACGCACGCAATGTGATTGACAACTAAAAGCTCAACGAACCGTTTGAACTGAAGATAGATGTAAGACAAGGATATCCACTATCATCTATGATATTCCTAATTGTGGCGGACGACTGGATTATGCATCAGACTGTGGGGTGAGGGAGTGAGAAGACAGCAGTACGCTCACTGACCTATAAGATGACTATGGAAGATCTGGATTTCGCGCGTCGATGGTTTATTTTCAATGTCACACAGACTCGAATACTTGCAGGCAGGCGAAAGCCAGCAAGCCGGCGGGCAGTGGAGGAAGACAGGACTCCAGGTGAACATGGAGAAGACGTAGGTGATGAAGATAGCCAACCGACCAACAGCAACAACAAAAAACAGCACCAATCACTACAAACAGGAGAAATTTGAAAGAGGACTCTTCCTCCACTTATCTAGGCAGTCAGTAGCGTTTCAAATACAGGTGGTTGACATGGATGATGATGCCAAAACTAGCCAGCCTGAATCGGAAAGGGAAGGTACACCTTCATCACTCTGAAATCAGATTGGAAATCTTCTGCTGTCACTCAGCCAGCATAAACAACAAGATTCGGATTTTCAACACCAATGTTATGTCAGTCAGTCAATCACTTCTTCTATTTATGTCAGAGACTTGCACTGCGTGTCACGGAAAGCATTTCGAACAGGTCACTGCAGACTTTTATCAAGAGCTGCCTTTGCTCGTTGCATATTGAAGATCAAGTGGCCGGCCGGCCGGCCGACCAGAAAGAATTAGCCAGGCACAAGAAACTGTGGTTGGGAACGAACCAACCAAGAACCTATTGCTCAACAAATATGTAGAAGAAAATGGAGATGGATTGGGAGCACGCTGAGGAGACCGTTGGTCGACGTCGCTCGCCAGACCATCACTCGAGTGGGCCGTCGGTGCGAGAATAACGCGAAGGAGGTCTTGCGAGAAGGAAATGAGAGACTATGAGCAATCTTGGGCAGCTAAAGACCACCTCAGAAAATAGGACAAAGTGGAGACGTGTTGTTAAAGCCATGCCCTATGCTCCACTCGGAACCCAGGGGAACAAAATTAATATAATGTAACATTAATAATATAATCTTATCTAGATATTGCGAATTTAAATGTGCGTAAGCGTAGATTAGAGCATCACTATTGCTGAAGTAAATTGCATCGACTTTGCTAGCGTCAAGTTTGCTACTAGGTAGGCCTAATTTTGTAAACACTGAAAGACTTTGATTACCAAATGAAACCCAGGAAAATGCAATATTTTAAAATTTGTGCTGAGGAACTCATATGATACTAATATATATATGTGTAAGACCTAGGCACTGTGGAAGAAAGGAAGCTAGATTTTAAGAGATTAGCAGAGTATGCTGATCCTTACACGTTCCCCTAAATATTCCTTGGAATCATTTCACTCAATTAGTTACATTCACCAGTATGTAGTATCCTTATATGTCTGCACTTTTAAACCGCGCCCCTTGTCACAATGTAGGTTTTTCTGTAGCATGTGTCGAGTTATTCTGACAACAATCAATCAATCGATCAATGATCAAGAAGCAACGCGTTTTCCATTTGGCCATCATTTCTTCTCCCCAACTAAAAGCGCATAACAATGGTTAAATGATTGAATTAACATTGGTGACCATCCAAGAAAAGACATTACTTGACTGATCCCGCTAATAGCCGAATGTGTGCTGTCCGTCTGAACGGATCAGTGAAAAGGAGAAAGGACTGCCTACTCGCCGATGCCTTTTCGTAATTTCGCCTACGCCCCCACTGACTGCAGTTCGGATGAAACGAAGGATGAGTTCTACCAAAAGCTGTCTAGTTTGCTGAGAAAGGCTAAACGCTCAGATATAGTCGTTTTAGCTGGTGACTTTAATGCTCAATGGGAAATTGTGTCAATCTGAGAAGAATGTCGGTGGCACATACGGAATTCCGTGCCAGCGAACCGACAACGGTGACCGGCTCCTACAGTTCTGTTCAGATAATCACTTGTTTCTTGTAGGCACTAACTTCAAACACAAGGAGAGACACTGTTTGACCTGGCGACCTCCATCATCAAACCAACGCTGGACACAAATAGACCACATAGCAATAAGCTATCGTTGGCGTGGGTCGGTAGGGGATTGTCGCTCCTTCTGGAACACGTGTGTAGATACCGATCACGCACTGGTCCGCGCTCGTGTGTGCTTACGACTGAACGGACGTAGGAAACAGCTGGCGGTAAAACCATCACGTCCCCAGCTCGATCAGCAAACTAAGTCCCTATTTGAGGAAGAACTAGCTAAACACATATCTCAGTTCGACAGCTGCGCTCACCCTGAAGAAGCCTGGAAGAATATTCAATCAGCCATAGATACAGCTGTAAAAGCTGTGAATAAGGTAAATCCAAAGGTGAGTAAAAACCATTGGATTTCGACTGCCTCATCCGAACTGATAGATGCTAGAAGACTTATTCCGGCGAGCTCCGAATTCAATGAGGAGCGAAAGCTGCACAAAAGAAAACTTACGAAAAGTCTCCGCAAGGACCGTGAACAGTGGTGGTTGGCAAAGGCGAAAGAGATGGAAAAAGCATCGGCGATAGGCAACACTAGGCAACTCTTTAGACTCATCAGGGAAACGGATGAGAGAAGGCAAATCATAAGTGAGACTATTTGTGAGAAAAATGGCTCCTTAATTAGCTCTCAGGATAGACGCCTCGAACGCTGGAAAGAACACTTCGAGGAACAGTTTAACTTGCCTACAGCCACACTGAGCCTCCCCGCCATCCAGCACACACCCGAATGGGACATAGACACTGGCCCGCCGTCTGTAAGTGAGGTCACCAAAGCTATCTGTAATTTGAAACGAGGCAAAGCGGCAGGACCCGACGGAATTATTCCGGAGGTGTTTAAATATGGGGGTGACATGCTAGTATATAGTTTAACTAAGGTACTAGGTAACGTCTGGGAATCAGAGACGGTTCCATCAGACTGGGGTAAGTCACTTATCATACCAGTATTCAAGAAGGGAGATAAGTCCTCATGTGATAATCATAGAGGAATCAGCCTAACGAACATAGTCTCTAAAATCCTAGGCTCAGTAATCATGAACAGACTAAGCCGAACTCGGGAGGAACAAACGAGGGAAAATCAAGCGGGCTTTAGGCCAGGTAGAGGGTGCATAGATCATATCTTCACTCTCCGACAGATCCTAGAACATAGACACACTTTTAGGCGTCCAACAATTGCCATATTTCTTGACTTGAAGGCGGCCTTCGACTCCGTGGATCGAGAGGTTCTATGGCAATGTTTGACTATGAAGGGAGTGCCAAGAAAGTACATTGCACTAATCAAGGCACTCTACTCAAACTCACGTAGCTGTGTAAGGGCTTATGGGGAATTGTCATCTGAATTGATAACAACCAGTAGTGTCCGTCAGGGATGTCCACTTTCCCCTTTCCTGTTTAACTTCATCATAGATATGCTATTGGAAGTATCCTTAAGCGAACGTAACGACTTAGGAATCGACTTGTTACCAGGGAATAGTCTTATAGACTTAGAATACGCAGACGACATAGTCCTGTTAGGGGAGGACGCTGACAAAATGCAGAGTCTTCTGAACACCTTGAGCAGCAATCTTCGTATGTTTG